GCGTTAATTAAATATAAAATATACGTTCAACTGAATACATAAATAACCAAAAAAACATGTCTTATTTTATAATTGATAATATTTAAGAAAAGACGATTCAATCAATATTGAAGATATACTAAATAAACATTGCGCGTGTATATTGGATATTTATATTTAATTTAATATTTCAGATATTAAATGTTTTTTCAGGGCAATATTATAGCCAAATCGTTTATATGTTAACTATTTTAATTAAGAATATATCTCGAATCAAACAACTTTAAAAATATATATATCATTATTATAGCAATAAAATTATCGGTTAGAACATCAAAATATAAAGAAAATAATAATGTGCTTAGAGAAACAGATTAATTTAATTATAATAACATCCCAGAGGTTTAATTAAAAACGACTGGTATACTGATTAACATCTTTTAAAAATTAGTTATCAGCAGATAATTAAATACGTAATTAATTGGATTATATATATATATTTATATATTTATGTACCCCCTTCCCTTTGTTGGCAATAATTTTCCATTAAATTTCATATCATATTATTTGATTCATATAGATTCTAAATAGTATTTGATAAAATTATGCCCAATAAAACCAATATATGTATTCTTTATTTATATTTTTAAATATATAAATAAATGTTTAGTATTTTATTTTATCTGTCTTTTTTCTTACAATAAAATTATTTCAATTTTTTTATTTTTGATAAAAGGCATATGTATTTTCAAATAATATTTCCAAATTCAATAAATTTCATGGGTGCTAAACTAATTTTACATTTTATTCATGGACAAAAAATAATTATGTTTTATTAGAAAGTATTTACTATATCAGTAAAATCATAATTTTCGTCAGAAAAATATGAAATTTAAAATATTTTAATTTTTCCTAATATAATTATAATTTCTAAAATGATCTTATCCTTTTTAAATTCAAAATTTTATGAAAATTGATAATTATTTTCTTTCTTCGAATTTAAATTAAAATTAAGGTCAAATATAATAATAAAATTAAACTATTTACATCAAAATAATTGTGAAAGTAAAACAATGGCGATATTTCATATTTTCTTCTCAACAAAATATTAATATTATCGAATATAAATTTCATCAGAACTGAAACAACAAACATTTAAAATATTAATAAATAAAATTTATTTTTTCATATTTCAAAATACTTTGTTATAAGGTAAATATTCATTTTTTTAATATACAAATTTGTAATATGCTCGAAATTTATTAGCTTTATGTTTTAATATGCCTTCCAATTCACTGTAAATATTAAAAATAATTATGTATTTTATATATTCAATTATTATATTTTTATATAATAATTGTTGTATTAATTTGAACAAATATGTATTTTATTTATTATTGGAATTTATATTACCAAATGAATGTATTAAATAATAAAATATTATAGAAATTATTAACAGAATTATTTGTATAATTTCTCTAAAGCCTGTTAGAGTATTTACCCAATTCCAAATTAATTTTTAAATAAAAACATATTTTCTGAGTAATAGTATATATAATAATTAAGAAAATATAAATTTTATTTGCAAAATTTATCTACATATTTTGAACTAATTTGTGATTCCAATAATTTTCTTAAGAAATTTTGAATCAAAATATGTACATAAATATTTATATTATTAACCTGAAGAAAATAAGAGATACAAAACCTTTTTTTTAAATTGACAATAATTTTGAAATATCATTTGTTAAATATTCAATATTTAAATTGTATATTTTATAGCACATTTTAAAAAAATATGCTATAATAGAAAAACTTCCTATGAATATAATTATTTTTATAATCACAGAGTATAAGATTTAAAGTATTTGTAATGTTATTCTGTATTTTCATATTTGTAATTATCAAGATGATCATGATATAATATATCAACCATATCGAGTGTTTTCAGTAAAATAAACATTATTTATCAGCAATAATCCAAATTAAAGAATGATTAAATCAAACGAAAAATTAAAATTCTGAGAAAATGGCCGCCATAGAATGAAGGTAGACCAACTGTAGGTAGCTAAGGCCGCTTGTAGAAGTGGGAGACGTTGTGAGATGGAAAAACCTGAAGCATAAAGCATAAATTGGTTATGATTATAAGTATGAATAATTATTTTTTAAAATTATTTGTGTATATATATACTTGTAATATATTTTTATTTATATTTATCAACGCAACATATTGAATCGTAATCCTTACTCATTTTTATTCTATAATATTTATCAGTCTCTTCATTTATCTAATCAAATGGTTATTTAATTATATACTCTTTTAATTATTATTATTGATATAACAATTGTACATATATTTTATATAGCGTGAAAATTTTATTAGATAGTTTCTTTCTTTGATCTTGTATAGGATCAGTGGATCAGGGTGATTTAGTTTAAATCAAAGAAAAACGTGGATAAAGAGAGGCGTTTTTTTCCTAGAAATAATGGTTGAATAATAAATTTAGATCCAATATATGCCTTTTTTATTTATAGATATTATTATGTATTGTTCAATCTTTAAAATTATCAAAAGTGTTTACATAATATTTATATTCAATATATCCTGATTTTTCACAAGAGTAAATATTGATTGTAGATTGCGCCATCTAGAGGAACAAAAATCAGTTATAGGTTGTTCCACAATATATGGCCGATTTAATTTCTTTAAAAATTAAGAAAGGCCTAAAATATACCCTATCGACCTAAGTCATTGTTGTACAGACTGTACCTCAACGACCAAGTTTTTTGTCCAATAGATTTCCCGAGAAATAATGTTTTTTTAGATTATAACTCATACATATATATATAAGGGTACAATAATTATTTTATTCAAACCAATAAATGCCCTTTTATTATATATATATATATATAATATATAATAAATAGACGCTGAAACCACTTGGTTCCATGACTGCTCTTGGTACGACATATATATATTTACCTAAAAATTCTTATTTTTGTGTAAGCGCAAAACCAGTGTTGTTTCGATTAACGGATAGAAAAAATAGAATCTCACCTATCAACGCTAGTCAAACTTTCGTTTGTCTGCTGATGGTCTGCAGCTCCTGATCAGGCCGAGGTGGGGAGAAGTCGTGGAGTAACGCAGGAGGGGAAGGCTCGGAGAGTAAGCCCAGCTGTCAACAAGCAAACAGTATCATTGTTAGTCCAATAACAACAACTTGATCAAGGTTTTCTCTTTCCTATTCAAGCCAAATATTATATTTTCTATATGATACCGTTAGTTTTCTACAGTCTCGAAACAATAATCCAATCTCGCATTGGACAATTTTTCATTATAAATATTGCTCAAATGGACTCTGATTCTTGAAAAATATCAACTCATTCAGAGTCTGAACATTCTTAAAATAATTGTAATTGTGTAAATACAATGTACCAATCAAGAAAATTGCAATCGATAGTTTTATTAAGATAAAATGAGAAGCTCTCAAAGGTTAACTCATCATCAGGCCAATTGTTTCGCAAATGGCTACAATCTATATAGAGTTGTAGATTAAATTATAGTTATTGCGGGTTTTGAGAGGGACCTCTTCCTTTTTTATCAATCAGAACAATGCACTGTTTATCGTCCTTGTGTCCATATCAGTGACCTTTTACTAGTATGCCCCTATGTACTGTTGAGGGCCATAACCCGAAACCAGGGTATACAGGTGTTGGCATTCTGTCTGTATTTACTCATATTGATGTTATTTCAATTTCCTTAACACCACTAGTGGTTTATTTACTAGGGTGACAAATAGTACATCGTTGTGATGTATGATTAAAGAGAGACGTGCCTCTTTAGGTACATATATTGCAATGATAAGTTAATAGGACGGCCTGTCTTAACAGTATTGAACCCTTTCAAGGGTTTCGTCAGTTCAATCTACCAGACCGTTGTAATATTTATGATTGCAGAAAGATCAATAGAAAATTATTTTATTTCAAAATAATTAATAGATGTTTAAAATAGTTTAAAGTTTATAAGAGATAGAGTGCCAATGCACACATTTTATTTATTTATTTATTACCAGTTGCAAATAAGACACGTCATATCCGATCTGGATAATTGGGCGTGAAACCATTTACAATAATTCATTTTGTAGTAGTTTAGGTTAAAGAATTGTCAAAAAGAAAATAAGCAACTAAGAAAAAGAGAATTGAATTAATATCTAATGCACACATCATGTTAATTTGTATATATAATACAATATAGTTTAATTATTTATTTGAAAAAATAGATAACAAATATTAGAATATAGAGTGAAATGTGCCTTTCTAAGATTAAATAAAGATTTTATCAAAAGTGTGATGGCAGGAAAGGAAAATGGGCCGTTTTATTCGGCCATATTTTATACCGAGGGATTCTAAGATTAAAGTGGAGGCTGATGATCCAAGAATCCCGCTCCGTTTTTTATCACGTTGACTCGAGGCTTCTCTATTTATTATACAGTTTATATTAGAATACATAACTTATGATAAAGGCCATTGCTGGTGTAGTTGTATAAGTTGTTGATTTTAGGTACCAATGACCTGGGTTCGAATCCCGAATTATACTATTTTTTTTCTGTAGTAAAAATTGCATGAATGACCTCGTATTAATGAGAATGTTCAATCCCACTATCCATATTTTCTATTGTTGTTGTTGTTGTCGTGTCCAATGAAGAGCCTAGATGTCCCCATACATCTCTATCACAGCAGTCACAATGTCCACTATCTTGGGTGTGTAAAGCTGCTGTTCTGGGTCTATGTCAATTTTCCGCAAGGCTGCGGGCATTGCTGGGCATGAGAATATGTGTGTAGGTGATAGTTCCACACCAGGATAGTTTTTGTATGTCCTATAGGTTCTTGTGCCATCTGGATGTATTGTCATTCCTTTATAGTGTTTTATTCTAAGTCTTGTTGTAGTTTTTGTCAGTTTTCTCTCAGAGGTTTTCATTTATTGTCCAGTTTATATTATAATAAATAACTGATTAGCTTGTTGCTTGGTGGTGTAGTGGTAAAAACTGTCGGATTTAGAAACCCACGACCTGGGTTCGAATCCCACATTGGGCACTTTTTTCTGTAGTAGAATATCCATCAAGGATCTCCTATATTTGCAGATGTTAAATCCCACTATCTATATTGTACAGTTTATATTAGAATATAAAACTTATTAAAGCGGCGGCTTTTGGTGTAGTGGTATACGAGCAAATTTAATTTTAGACACCAACGACCTGGTTTCGAATCCCGCATTGGACACTTTTATTCTGAAGTAAAATATCCATCAATCACACACATCTCTTATTTCTGTGTTTTTTAATACAACTATACATATGTTCTATTTATTTTACAGTTTATATTATAATACATAACTGATTTGTATGTGGCTTGGTGGAGCAGCGGTAAAAACTGTCGATTTAAACACCAACGTCCCGGGTACGAATCCCGTATTGGGGACTTTTTATGTAGTAAATTTCCATCAATTATCTCCTATTCTTGCTGTTGTTCAATCCCATTTATCTATATATTCTATTTACTGTCCACATTATAATAGGATAAATAACCTATCAGTGTCTGGCTTGCTGGTGTAGTGGTTTTAAACCGTCGATTCAAACACCAACGACCTGGTTTCGAAGCCCGCATTGGACACTTTTATTCTGAAGTAAAATATCCATTAATCATCTCATATTCCTGCTTTTTTGTTCAATCCAACTATCCATGTTTACTATTTATTGTACAGTTTATATTGGAATACATAACTAATTAGTATGTGGCTTGGTGAAGCAGTGGGATAAACCGTCAATTTAAACACCAACGACCTGGGTTCGAATCCCGCATTGGGGACTTTTTTTCTGAAGTAAAATATCCATCAATCATCTCATATTCCTGATTTTTTGTTCAATCCAACTATCCATGTTCCCTATTTATTGTACAGTTTATATTGGAATACATAACTGATTAGTATGTGGCTTGGTGAAGCAGTGGGATAAACCGTCAATTTAAACACCAACGTCCTGGGTTCGAATCCCGCATTAGGGACTTTTTTTCTGAGGTAAAACTGTCATAATTGACCTTGTATCCTCTTCAATATTCTCTACAATGATCTCTTGAAATTTTCCAATCCTACTATCCCACATATTCTCTATTTATTGTCCAGTTTATATTGGAATACATGACTTATTAGAACAGCGGTTGGTGGTGTAGTGGTATACACCGTCGATTTCAGACACCCACGATCCGGGTTCCTATCCTTTATTGAGCACTTTTTCTGGAATAAAATTTACATCAATGACGTCCTATTATTGCAGATGTTCAATCCTTATTATCCATATATTCTCTATTTATTGTCGAGTTTATATTTTGCTACAAACCTAACAATATGGGAGTTTGGTGAAGCAATGACGTAAACCTTCGATTTTAGACATCCACGTCCTGGGTCGAATCCCTCATAGTGTACTTTTTCTGATGTGAACATTGCATCGTTGGACCACAATTATTGAACGTAACCACTCTTATCAATAAGTGCAAATAACCATATTTAATTAAGAAAACTTGAATAGCAAAATTCAAATTACTTTTATTGGAAATGTTGTACCTTTAAGCATGTACACTGCGTGACATTGAAAATGGAACACCAAGAAATAGTGGCCAGAAAGTGATGAAACCTGGCAGACAGAGAGAGACAGGGACGAACAATAAGTGATCTTTATTTCAAAATGATAGTCATAATACAGAGCGAGAACGGCGTCGGCTTAGTAGCAAGTAGGACCACCGCGGACGGCGATGCACGCAGCAACACGTCTAGGTAGAGAGTCAATCAGAGTACGGATGGCGTCCTGAGGGATGGCTCTCCATTCCCTCTCAACCATTTGCCACAGTTCGTCTTCTGAACGCGGCTGTGGCAAGGCATGCAAACGGCGTCCAATGATGTCCCAGACGTGCTCGATTGGTGAGAGATCATGAGAGTACGGTGGCCAGGGAAGCATCTGTACATCTTGCAGAGCTTGTTGGCTAATGCGAGCAGTGTGCGGTCGGGCCTTATCCTGCTGATAAAGGGCATTGGGTACCCCCTGTAGGTAGGGGAGTGTCACCGGTCGCAGCACATCATCAACGTATCGTTTGGCCGTCATAGTGCCCTGAATACGAAGTAAAGGTGACCTGGAATCATACGCGAATGCGCCCCAAACCATGATTCCACGTTGTCGCACGGTGGGGCGTTCCACAATTGCTGCCGGATTGGACCTTTCTCCACGTCGACGCCACACGCGTACACGGCGACTATCACTGGACAAGCAGAAACGCGACTCATCTGAGAACACGACACTGTGCCATTCCGTCATCCACGTCGTTCTAGCCCGGCACCATTCCAAACGTTGGCGCCTATTCGGTGGGGTCAATGGCAGTCTTCTTAGCGGACGGCATGAGTGCAAGCCATTAGCAACCAATCGACGGGAAATGGTTCTGGTCGAGATGGAATGATCTAGGGTGTCTTGCACATGTTGCAGGATGGCGGTACAAGTGGCTTGTGGGGCCGCCACTGCTTGTCGAAGGATACGCCGATCCACACGTGCTGACGTCACTCTGGTTGCACCGACATTCCTATAAATTGCCACATTTCCTTGTTCCAACCATCTTCTCCACAGTCGGTGCACCGTGGACGCACCAAGGTGTGTATCAGCTGCGATTTGACGTATGGACCAACCTGCCCTTTTCAGTCCGATCACCATGCCCCTCGTAAAAGCGTCTGTCTGCTTGAACTGCCTCCGTTTACGATGACCTGGCATTCTCTGTTATTACACGTGTCTTTTGACACAAGAACAAAATTTCTACAATGATTTTCCTTGAAGAAATAACGACACGAATACTGTCCTTTCTGCAAGTTCCTTCCCTTATATCTTACTCCATGTGCGCACGAGAGCTGCGCATTTTACATCATTTGCATAACTCGGTTAGGCGCGTCTACCCTGAAATTTACATAATTTTCTGGCCACTATTTCTTGGTGTTCCATTTTCAATGTCACGCAGTGTATATCGGGATTCAGACAATACGTCTGAAAGATATTTGATACACAACTACCTTTATTAAAACCCACGAAACAACCATGGGTGAACAGAATTTTCTCTGTCCGCTTAAAAAGAACATACAACAGGCTATATCAAAGTGTTATTTCATATTATGCATTTATAACTAACCACTATGAGTATAAAGACTAGTACCACATATACTTTAAAAAGGTTTTAAAAATCCTTATTGGCATATTAACAGTATTACAATACAGAACTCATTAGAAAGAGGCTATGAAGTGAGGCTATTTATTTTCTACAGTCAGAACCCGGGATCGAATCCAGCATTTGGCTCTTTTTATTCAGAAAAAAAAATCAATGACTTCGATTCTTACTGAAGTTAATGACAAAATCAAAATATAGATTTTCGGATTCGCTGAATCAGTTTGCCCTCAAATTATTTTAAGTTCGATATATAAATATATAATATATTAGCTATTAAAAATAAAGAAGGCATCTCCTGACCACGATCACATGTGCATATATTAGACAGTAAAAAAAGGCATATATTGTAATGAATAAAATATTTATTGCCAATATTTCGGCTGGCTGGACGCCAACCTTTATCAAGGCATTACATTTTTGTATAAACAAACTCAGCGCCGCATAGTGTTATAATATCACAGTTGATATCAATCAAAATACAAAGTAAATGATATCAACTGTGATATTATAACACTATGCGGCGCTGACTTTGTGTATGCAAAAATGTAATGCCTCGATAAAGGTTGTCGTTTAGCCAACCGAAATATTGGAAATAAATATTTTATTCAATCAAACATATGCCTTTTTTACTATCTAATGATTTGAGTATGGATTGCTCTATTTTCAGAATATATATATATATTATATCAAATTCCAATCAAATTAGGTTCTAATTGATATTTTAAACCATAAAAGTATGACGTTTCTATTAAAGTAATTAAGTATAAAACACGATTTATGTGTTCTTAAATATATTTAAATGATTAATGTGTATAAACCAATAGCATAATAACCTACATAGAGGTAGATTATTGATATCTTTCTAAAGTGAAAAATAAATGCCTGCCTTAAATTACGATATTAGCTGAATATGTTTGTTCAGGTTGGGATAGATTGTAGACGTAAGACGTCGGATTTCGACAGATACGACCCGGGATCGAATACCGCCTTGGGTACCTTTTTCAAAGAAAGAATTGAATCAATGCCCCCTAGATTTTGCTTAAATTCAACCCCGCCATTGAGTGCAGGTAGCCTAAACAAAGCCTTTGAACATTTGTAAATGCAATATCGAATTTCTATCTGCATTTTTATAAACCACAGTAAAAGCAGGCGCTAATTATCTACCTTGATTATCATGTCGTTAAGAACGTTCAAGTGGGGTAAGAATTTATTTAAATTATTCCTAGTACACGTGGTATTGGCTATTATAAATGTGATGGGTAGAAATTCCGACTGTTTTTACTCTAAGTGCACCACATTCTACACATGTGGAAATAAGTACGATTTTTTCGCTTACAAGTGTGACAGAGGTTTGTTCAGTTACTTGCACTCGCTGTTCGGATTGGAATATATCAAGAAAGGGGGGGGGCATTTTTTAGCATTTGTTTTCAATTAGAAAAAGGTTTTCAATGATCACGCTTCGTAGCGGTCGAAAACCATCGGTTTAGACCACTCGACCACAGAACCCAGTGTTATAAGTTGTTAATATTAATAGAACACCAGTGTGTATTTTAAGGGAATTGTAGCTTCCAAAATATTAGATACAAGTTGGGCCAAAACAGATGATACCTTTTAAAAGACATTCATCTGTCTTTTGACAAATAATTAATAATTGTTTGTTTTAGAATTAAATTAAGCAATCTGGTTATAAACAAGATTGTAAAGCTTACAGCTGAAAAATTATAAAAATGATGCTGATAGATAGAATATAGAATAACATTGATAATTTACATTTCTAAAGAACTAATCCCGCCATATATAAGTAGAGAAAAATCACCTTCAAGACTGCTGTTTATTTATTTATTT